AACGTCACATCGGACGGAGGCATGACGTGCAGCGGAGAGAGCTGTCATGCGATTCTCTCAGGTGTTGGAGCCTTACTGATGATGCTTGAATGTGTGAAAAAGAGAGAGAGGGAGAGAGAGAGAGAGAGAGAGAGAGGGGGGGGAAGAAAAGTTCCAAGTGAGTTTGGAGTTTTTTGGAATTCATGGTTCCCAGACACTCCATGTATGCCATATATGCCTACATTGGGCCCTGGGGTGGTTTGGGGTTTGGGGGGTCAATGTACCCTACGCAACCAAACCCTATAAATTTGTAGGGTCTCAATCGGAACCTCGGGTATTCTTGTGAAATCAAGAATACCTCAGGTTTGTTCTTAGAACCTCGGGTCTTGTTTTTCTAAACCGTGCTAAGCCGTACTAAACCCATATTTAACCCGTACACATACCCGTACTAAAAACGTATTGTACTACTGGTTTGGAAAACCTGGGGTTTCCTTCAGAAACCCTAGTTTTTTCCATCGACCCTACAAATTTATAGGGTTTGGTTGCGTAGGGTATGCATATATGGCATACATTACATGGAGTGTGTGGGGTTGGGTCGCAACGGTATGTCAGTATGTCCCGATTCCGAGCTCCATGCCTGTTTCTACGACCACTCTGTCGTTTGGAACGGACGTCGTAGAGACATGGTGCTGCTGAGCCCTTTCCTGTGTATCCATGTTCTTTTTCCCGAATGCGTAGCGAAGGGTTCTCGTTTAACTCTGGGGGTCTGGGGGTAGAGCCTTGTTCCCGACCCGTTGTCTCAGCGTTCGCAACCGTTCACCGCCGTCCGCATGAGGACGCTAAGGCCACTGCCATTGGGGGAAGGTTTTGGAGAGGGTTTGGCATGGAAGCGTGATGTGTCAGATTCGTGAAAGATTTCGAGGAAACGTGTGGAAACGTCAGATGCTGAAGTGTGGAGGATGAGTTCACTTCGCAGGCGCAGCGTCTTCTGAGATCGGCAGTTTTCTGCGCTTTTTGGGGTGTTGGATGTGGCTGTGACATTGGGATTTGCGTTTCAGGGTGTTGCATCGAAGCTCAGTCTGTTTTCGTGACAAGTCTCAGCTGAAATGGCAATTTTGGTGGATTAAAAGTGTGGTGTGGTGTTATCACTTTTCGTGGCAGGCGCTGTAGTACTTTGTGCGGGCTTTGAGGTGTGGAAGTGCGATTTTCGTGGCAGGCGCAGGGGATCGTGAGGTTGCAAGGTGTGATGGAGGTGACATTTCGTGGCAGGCGCAGTACTTTGTGCACGTTAGACGTAATACGGAAAGTTTCGTGGCAGGCGCAGGGAATTGTGAGGTTGCGAGGTGTGGCGGAGGTGAATGTCGCTGTGACATTGGGATTGGCGTGTGAGCGGGCGTTGTTGGAGGGGAGACTGGACGCGTGACTTTTGGAGGAAGTCTCGTACGAAACACTCGTTTTGCAGACTCGAAGCTTTTGGAGGAAGTCTCGTACGAAATGCTCGTTTTGCAGACTCGAAGCGCGAGTTTTTGAGGAAGTCTCGTACGAAACGCTCGTTTTGGAGGATTGAAGCGTGAATTTTGGAGGAAGTGACGAACGAAACGCTCGTTTTGCAGACTCGACGTGTGAGTTTTTGAGGAAGTCCTGTGCGAAACGCTTGTTCAGGAGACGTGACAGCAGTGACTCACAAGAGTGTCCCACAAGAGTGTCTCACAAGTGTGTCCGACAAGAGTGAGAGTGTCCGACGAGAGTGTCCTACAAGAGTGTCCCACAAGCGTGTCCTAGGTCCTACGTACAAGAGTGTCCCACGAGAGTGTTCCACAAGAGTGACAAACAAGACTGTCCTACAAGAGTGTCCCGCAAGAGTGCCCCACAAGAATGTCCTACAAGAGTGTCCTACAAGAGTGCCCCACAAGAGTGTCCTACAAAGAGTGTCCTGGAAGAATGTCCTACAAGAGTGTCCTACAAGAGTGCCCCGCAAGAGTGTCCTACAAGACTTTCCCTCAAGAGTGTCGTCCCAGAGTGTTCCGCAAGAGTGTCCCACAAGAGTGTCATGTTAGAGCGTCCCACAAGAGAGTCCTACAAGACAGTTCTGCAACAGTGCCCCATAAGAGTGTCCGAAACAGGATTTGGCCAGGTGTGTATGTTCAGAAGTCACATGTCGCAAATGCTTATGTACACAGAAGTCGCTGTGGGAATTTTGCGTAGATTACGCCCCCCCCCTCTCTTAATAGAGAAAGATTGGCATATGTAACGCGTTCGGGTTCGTGGGCTCCATCTTGCTTTTCCCTGTGTTATGGTGTGATGCCTCCATACATTGGTGCTGGGCGGCCAAGCAACATGATATTGCCTGTCTGTCTGCGTGTATACTATATTCCATGATGGTTGTCCTCATCTAGTTTGTCTACTGTATGTTGGGTTGGTTCTGGCGTGTAACTGGAGATGTTGTTGCTGTGGTCCTTTCGGCTCGTTTTCGGAGGACTGCAAGTCTTCGCTTGTTCGGCAAGTGTTGGTCCATGTTTGTCCTGTGTCCCCTTCACAAATCGTGAGATTTCAATCTTCCATGTGGGAAGCGAGCCATGCCATAAACCCAACTAGGACATTTACATGCTGTAATACACATACATTTGAATATATAGTTAGTAATCTTAGGAATCTATCAAGCTTTAGCAAAAATCAAAAAGGCTTCTGCGAAGTTGCTGGAATGTTGGCTTCAAAAAACGTGAAGTTTAATCACCCCCTGATGCGCCCTTTGCAATCGAAAAAATGCAGCATCATGCATCATCAGTTGACGGTAGACCGGAATCGGTGTGGTTTGCGCCCTGTTGTTCCAGCGCCTTGAACGTGATGCCCTTTGTATCCTTTTGTTGGACTGCTTCCATTCCCGTCGCCTCATTTCTCAGTTCTCAATTTTGTTATGTGTTTCTGGACTTGTTTGCAATCTTCCGGTGAAAGCGGGCAGTTCTGGTGGTTGGAGTACTTGGTTTTTTATTGATCTTTTTGAGCGCCTCCATATGGTGTTCACCGCGTACTTGTGCGTAGAGTTGCCGTCTGGTGCTGGTTTGCGTTTGTATCAGTACTGTTGTTGCCACTGCTTCGCTTGAATTGCCTGATCGCATCACGCCTAATCCCTAAAGGCCCCAATCCTTGTCGCAGTTTACGGAACAACGCTTTGCGGATTGAAACTCTTACCCTGTGGTGTTTTGGTGATGTCTTGGGCAGTGCAGATGGCACTCCTTCTCGACAAGTTTCTAAGTCTTGGTTTGAGCAGCAGTAAGTGAGTGGTATATCTAGGTGGTTTCTGTTCAACCCTGATGGTTGCAATATGCATGCAGGGGAAATTCTGATAGTGTGAACGCAAAAGAAAAAGGCAACTTGTTTTGGAGTCTAAAGTGGACATGAACCCCTGGTCCCCAGCCCGTCGATGCCACCACAAGGAGTGCCTTTTCTACGGAAGACCATTTGTTTTGGAATCTAAAGTGGGCATTAACCTTTGGTCCCCAGCCTTCATGGTCAATATTGAAGGGCGCTCCCGATACCAGAAGGAGTGCTTTTCTACAAAATGATCTATTTGTTTTGGAGTCTAAAATGGGTATGGACCTCAGGGCCCCAGCCCTCAGATTTGACCATTTGCTTGGGAGTGAAAAGTGGGCATGGACCTCAGGGCAGCATCCCTCATCGTTCCATTTTGAAGGGCGTTGCCGAACAGCTTTTACGAAAGACAACTTGTTTGGGAGTCTAAAGTGGGAATGAGCCGTTGAGCCCTCATGGTTCTATTCTGAAGGGCGCTCCCGATACCTTTTCCACGAAAGACTATTTGTTGGGGAGTCTGAAGTGGGCATGAACCCTTGGTCCCCAGCCCGCATCGTGCCAGAAGGAAGAGCGCCAGCATCCGCCTGCAATGGCCTCAGCCTATGCCGGAGCGAGGTGGACGCCCTGACAGGTTTGTGCAAGTCATCTCTGCCCAGTGGGCGTTCGAATCCTTGCGGAAGGAGGCCTTCATTGCCTCAAGGCGCAGTTCCGCAGACAGTTGTGCTCGAAGGAAGCGAGAGATCTTGCAAAGCAAGGCTCTGGGCGTGAAGCCGAAAGACGTGCGCGAGGCCATTCTCCAAACATGTCAATTTTTGTTGTGAGCGTCCACTATCTGAGATTGATCCGCATCATGGTGAAAGAAGCCGAGCTCCCTGAGTCCATTTCCTTCAGCCATGAAGGCTGTTTTTGGATACGCTGTGGAGCAGATGCTCACCGTGTTTTTTTTGGAAGGGCTCTTGGTTTCGACGCGCGGGAAAAAAGGGAAACTCTTTCCCTGCTGCCGTCAAATTAACAGATTTGGTGAGCTGCCCAGAGAAGGTGACGGCGAGCCTTGAAAGCATTCAGCTGGAGAGGGTCGCAGCAGCCAAGCATTGTGAGAGCAGCGCTCGCAAGAAGCGAAGGGTGCTGAGCAAGGCGGCCTCTGCGCCAACAAGAGTCAGGTAGGTGCGAGTCTCCGGAAGCTCAGAGTGCAGCAAAGCTGCAGGGGGTGATGCTTGACTGACTCACTTGGATTGCAGACTAGCGTGGTTTAGGTCATGTGCGCGGATTGTCCGCATCGCGGATTCGTTTTGGGAGCAATCTGGAGAAGCGACCAGATTGCTTCTATCATTTTGCAATTCCCTCGATGCCTGAGTGTCAAACATCCTCTTGGTTGCTCTTTAGTAGGCTGTTCATTGAAAGTCCCTTGATTCAATACATCCGGATACATTAGTGTAGTTCAGACTCAAACATCCTCTCTGTGATTGTGAGCTGATTGTGTTGCTGTCTCTGATATTTGTATTTTGCAGCGCACCGAAACCAAACGATTTGTTGCTTTCGAAAACGTCTTGACACGGTTGCAGCTTGAAAGAGAGAGAGGGAGAGGGAGAGGGAGAGGGAGAGGGAGAGGGAGAGGGAGAG